ACAACAAAGATTTTAACTGGTACTGCCACCATAACTGCGTGTTGCTCGAAGGACTCCCAGGTGACATGGGGTAGAAGCAGGGAGGATTTCCAGAGTTTGGCTATTGGTAGGCCTGTCTCACCTCCACGTCCAGATGGACGTGAATGTGAAATGGGTGGAGTGGCAGCTGGTATTCAAGTAATCAATTCTTTTTGAGAAAGCCGTGCTTGTGGAAAGCAATTTGTTTATGGTTTATGTGCAAAAAAAACAACATCTTCCCTTTGGAGATATGTCAGGTAGAGACGGTAGATGGTAGTCCATTGGAGAACTTAATTAAATAGTTTGTGAATTTGTGAAGATATTTTGAGCATTTGCTTAATCAATTTTCTTTATTTTTGCAAATTGTTATAATTGAGTTCAGCCAAATCAATGATGACTTGAAAATGCATCTTTTTCCTTTGGATCTTTATTAAATATTATGGTTGCGATTGGGCTTTTTTTAATTATTTCTTTCAGAGGTGTTCACACGAAAAAATGTGATTTTGTGCTTTGGTTAATACCTTCTTTGTCTATCTTTGCTTCAAAGTACATCATAGAAATCAGTGGCATGTGCATAACAAAATGATTAGAAATGAGGATAAATATCTGGAAGCTGCGACCCATCCAGTTTTTCATACTTTTGTAAGAACATCGTTCTCTTTCATTTTCCCATTTGATTATGCATTAATGTCGAAGGGATTTAAAAGCAGAAGCTGACAATTATTCTAGAGAATATTAAGAATGGTCTTTGTTCCCTTGCGGTTAATGCAAAAGCAGACAAAGTCTTTATTCGCAAAGAGGAACATAAACTTTTGAAAAAATGTACCCTAAAAAAAAGCATTAGCGCTGATTCTAATATACTTTATGTAACAGTAAGATGGAAACCTTTCAAGATGATTTCCCCAGTCATTGCAGTGCAAAGACATGTGCCAATAATGCCCCAACAATAGTCTATTCTGTCGTCAAAGCAAGATAGTTTGCTATCTTAACTGGGTAAGATTTGTGTGTTTATATGGTAATCTCTACTTTAGGCAAATTATGTCAAATGTGGAAGTAGAATGGATCTCCATCTGTCAGAATTTGTGGCCAAAAGTGACCGGGCCCGAATGCAGGACAAGTGCATGAGCGGGTGAAACAGAGAGTCAGAGGGGTTCTATTTAGTAAAATAAAGGATAACTAACACTTTTCCAGGAAAGTTGTATGAACAAAACAAAATAGGAAACAACAGACGGGCTGACTGTCAATTAGGAAATTAAAGAATCTCAGAAAAATAAAAACAATGATCTGGAATAGGGATGAAAAGGAAAATCAGGAGAATATGTACTGGAGAAGTGATTAGGGGATTAACAACAGACGAGGTAGTTAGCGTCAGACACCAGGTGTTCAAATCTTTAAAAGAAAAATTTAAAAAAGGAAACATCAAAACAGCACATAAGAAAATGAAAAGACAGAAGCCAACAGAAGCTGATATATATATATATAATTATATATATATGTAAAAAGTTGTTTTGTTCTAAACTCCATTTATCCAAATTATTAAGGTTCATTTGAGGTGTTCCAGCGTAAACGAATAAGACACTCCATCAGAATGCAGATATTTGAGTAAGTACCATAAAGTTTGCCAATTAAACTTCTCATTCACACACACTGGCCGCATCTAAAAGCAGCTGACCAGCAGAATTTCTGTTTTGTTTTTTGGACAGACACGGAACTGCCAACGTGAAAAGCATTAGATGGCCGTAACATCTTGTTCGAGGTGTTGCAAACTGTGGACCGTGATGAGTACGAGGCTGGTGGGCCCAAACATGACATTCCCTCTAATCGATGCGTGTTTTTTTGGCCATTTGTTTGCCACCAGCTCAGACGATGTACTCCTGCTGTCACCAACTCAAACACATGAGCGTCTCAGTTTGGATTTCACAAGCTGCTTGACTTTGCAACTCCAGTGTCGCTTGGACCAGCGTGTTACTCCATATTGCTCGTGTGGGCTTGTTAGATCAATTAGAGAGACTAAATCGCTGTGACCACATCATTGTGTTCATCTTTTAGGGGAAAAAAGGAGCAACAAAACAGTGGAAAAGTTGTCCTAAGTGGCAAGACGTTGATGGCAGGAAAGCTTCCAGAAATAAGTGTCTATGAACACAATATACTTTACTATCAGCAAATGCAGGTTACAAACCACATCTGCACATGCTCTAGAAATAATGTGAGTGAAAACTAATTTTACGTGGACTAAAGAAACCTTTCTGGTGGGAGAGAGAACCGTATTCTGGCTTGCTGCGAGTGTTGTTAAAAGTTGTGAATCTGTTGTGTGTATGTTTTAGTGTTCACGGAGTAGCATTTGTTGTGAACAGGATGATGTCTTATTCAGGGAACGTCACTGAAGAGCCTGAAATATCTGCTGCATAGCCGAGACAACGGTTGTAGAATTTCAACAGACATAAAAAAGTATAACATTCTCCTCCAATGGTCAAAACAGTGATGAACAGAACCAAACCTTCAAACGATGTGTGGCTTCCATAAAATACTGCTTTTCATTAAATAGAATGGCCTTTTCTTTTTTTTATTATTGTGAAATAAAAAAACATTTTCAATCGTCTGTTGTGAAGCAAATGATCATTACCTTCATTTTTTCCTAGGAAATTACACAACTTTCCAAATTCTATCGGTATTGAGATTTGAAATTGGAGAAATAATGTCTGCATACATTTCCTCAGAGTGGAGGGAAATCTTCTAAAACAACTTGCGTTGTAGGGTTTTTGTTTTGTGAGGCAAAGCAAACCAGAGGATTGTCGCAGGATATCTGCTTCTAGTCAGCCATACTCTTCTTCAATATCCAGAAGGTTACTGCTGATGTGAAAACGCTGTTTTTTAAGGTTTCATTTTCATGCAATAGGACATAAGAAGCAGGAGAAACAAAAACACAAAGCTATGTCAGTAATTTATTTGTTGGCAAACAACTTTCACTGTTACAACAAATATTAGTTATGAGATCATTCAACTTGGAACCCATACAAAAAGAATAAATAATTATCAGTAATATTGTAATTATAACCATGGTCATAATAATTTAAGAAAAGAAATAAAAAAAGATAGAAAGAAGGGAAAAAAACCCAGTGCCACTTTGGATACTCCTGTCTAAAGCCATCCTTCATGCCTCCCGGCTTGTTTTGTGGTCTTTAAACCAACAAACGGATAATAAATAATTTCTCTCTCTTGGGGGGGAAAATGGAGGAGGGTGTTTTCGTGGAATACATGTGCAAGGCTACACTTCATACATTTAGTCAATCCCCCCCCCCCCCCCCCCCCACCCCCCCCCCCCCGTAAATTGGTAAACATTGCCTTTCCACATCGGACAGTGCAGTTGTGAGCAGAGTTTTCACATGTTTCAGTACACAGGATACAGAGGAATGGCGCCCTTTCCCCCCAAAAAGAGTTACAGCTCAGAGATTGACATCAACGTATCAGCCACTGCAGCGAGGCGATGCCAGCTTTGAATGTTTGCAGCGCAGACGACACAACTCATCGTGTAGCGTGGTGTAGCACCTGTTCCTTCTGCCACCTCCACCGTCCCTGGACCACCCGGCTTTCCCTTTAGGTTTAAATCTACACAGTGGTCAAGCATGTAGCAATGACTGATATGCAAAATGTGACAGTGGTGCTGCTATAAAAAAGACCAGAATACTATGTGCTTGTGTGTGTGTGTGTGTGTGTGTGTATGCGTGTTGGGGTACATGTATATTAATCAAGGAATGTTAAAATGTATTTTGGGGGGGGGGGGCGGACAATAAAAAACAAAAACAAAACATGACACGAACAATTGTTCCTTGCTCTGTCCGCGGTCGGGGCACGACCAGGACATGACGCGACGCCTTTAAAACGGTCCCTCTGACAGGAAAAGCTTTGAAAAATGAAAGTTCAAAAATAAAAAGACTCAGAGTCATATGCAACATTTGTATCTGCATCTGTATTCTGTACAATACATAGAAACAGTTTGTGATTTCCTCATAGTCCTTCGGTAACTGAAAACGTTTACAGAAGAAAGGAGAACGAACGGAATAGTTTTTTTTTCTTTTTTTTTGTCATCGTTTTCTTTTTTTCTTCATTGCAGTCAGAAGTAAAGCGCTCCTCCCTCCCTTGTTTTCAGTGAAACACACAGTAGCTGCAGTCACTACAACTCGCAGGAATGTTACACCAGCCCAGACACAGCTCCAGATTAGCAGAAACGAACAGGAAAAGGGTTCAGAGCATTGGCCTTATATGGTTACTGTTCGATATCCGATATCCCAAATGTTCCAGCTTTTTTTTTTTTTTTCTTTTTTTTAACTGTTGGAAGTGAGGGGGGCATGTATCATACATCCCTCACTGGATTGGCAGGTATGCAGGTGGCTCTTTGGGGCCAGTTTACATTGTGATCGCCACAGCTCAATGTCCTGCTCGACCCTTCAAAAGGTGAAACTACGATCCGAGAAGTGTCTTTGAGAGTTAGACAGAGAGACGGACATACAGAACAGACAGGCAGCTCCATTAACCGGGGCCAATCACCTCGCCCTCATGGCGGTGCTGATGGTGGAGACTATACGCTAGGATCTGCTAGAAGTCCACACTGGGGGGTCTGGCAGGGCTATGGTCGGTCCGAGTATTCCACAGTAAAGCAAGTGGAATTTCGGGGAAAGAAAAAAAACAAAACAAAACACGATCCCTCCCCCGGTCCTGTTCCAAGTCGAAACTCCATTCTTGTTTGACGCTTACAAAATGGTCTTTCGAGCCGACCCCGCGCCATCTGCACCGTCCATGACAATACATTCGGCCCCTCGTCGCGTTGACCGGTGATGTCGTCACGGGCTGCCATTGAAGTCGCGCACAGTGTATCAAACCCGGGACGGGCCAGCTCGGTCTGCCAGTCAACAACACAGAATGCTTTAATTGGGAAGGGCTCGTTTCGGGGGGTTGAGGAGGGACAAGGAGTCTGAGTGGCTCTATAGACTGGTAACAAGGTGGGAAGGGTCCACGGGCGGCTCCTCAGGGGACGAGTCGGACTCGTCCTTGCTCCCGGACACCATGTATCCGTCGCTGCCGCCGCGACCCATGTGGTAGTAGCTCTGCAGCTCGTGGAGGTGGTTCCTGGAGCCCAGGTTTGGCATGCTCTTGTAGTAGACGTCGTCCAGCTCCGGAGCGGTGGCGCTCTTGCAGGGCTGCAGCTCCCCGGAGCTGTCCTCCTCGCCGTCCGTTAGACCGTTCATCTGCCCGTCGGGGAGGTCCGTCAGCACTGGCATGCTGGTGTAGAGGGAGTCTCTGTGGTTGGGCGAGTGCGTGTGCTCATCCGTGTGCTCGCTGGTCAGCAGGGGGAAGAAGCTCTCGCTGGGCTCCTGGGGAATGCGCCGCTGGCGGGAGAAGCTGTGCGGGGGCGGCGGCGGCGGCGGGTGGCTGTCCGGGGGAGGGGGCCGCGGCGGCAGGAGCGGCGCGTTGGATTCCTCTCGGATGATCTCCAGGCCCAGGTTCTCCTCGTGGGGGAAGGCGGCCGGGTTGTCCAGCACCATGGGACTGTTGTCCTCTTTGCCGCTGCCCACGCAGCCGCCGACCCCGCTGCTGCTGCTGCTGCTGCTGCCCCCGGGCAGGCTCCCTGAAACGAGAAGGTAGGAGTAATGAAGCGCCGCGCAAGGCAGAAGGCATTACCTGAAGGAAGGCGCATACAGCACGTTGTCTTATGTATCCTCACGCAAACTATGATGGATGTACCACAGGAACCATGGGACCCGGTCAAGAAATCTCACAGGGAACAGGGAGGTTTCTGACTATGTGACTCACAAAAGCTGTACAATGGGACTTTAAGGTACCAGTGCAAGGCTAGGGGAGGAGTCTCTCAGAAACAGTAAAGGTGGCAACAAATGTAAAGGATTATTTCCATCTATTCGGTTCCAATCCACACATTGACACAGCTTCCAAAAAAAAGACCACCTCTCATAGCGTGATGCGAATATGACAGAGAGTGGTAGGTTTTTGTTTTTCTGCTGGCTTTAGCCCTAGTCTCTGCCCCCTGGTTTTTTTCCAAACATCGTGACTTATATTGCTTCATAATTGTTGCTCCTTGCCAGTAACCTGCTCTGGTCTCGGCAGACTTAATTATGTAAATGTCAACAGTTTGGTGCCCTTTTTGTCCGGGCAGTCTTTGGATTTTGACACTTGGTCAGTGATCCAAAATGAATGGGATCAATGAAACCTCCTGTTGGAAAAAATGCAGCCTCTTTAGGGAGGCCGTTGAGTGACGTTCGGGGCAAAGATCTGCATTGCGCTTCAGCCTGCGTGTCCATGTTCCGCCCCACAGCTAAACACCCGTAGACACTTGTTTAATGTGTATCTATCGACTGCATCCTCTATGAGTGTCACACGGTCAGATAATGTGTACTTCCAGCCCTCCGTGTGTACATCTAAAAGGTGTTATAATTATAAACTCAATTTTATTAAGTGTGATGGGTTTTTTAAATCTCTTTTTTTTGTTTTTTTTCAAAGCGGCTGGTGTGATTGACAGGTTTGGCATTTTAATATATCAGAGGTGATAGGATGTGACAGTTATTGTCACAGTTTCTGCTTTTAGCTTCCCATCAATGACCAAGAGCTTCATTAGGTCATATTAAATTCACTCCTTTAAAATAAGCATACCACGCATACCAGCGCATTAGAATTTAACATCAGACTCTGGCTGATTGTCAGTGTTTTTTTTTTCTTCCATGGCAGATAATTCATGTAGCAGCAATGTCGACACAGCCTAAACAGAGAGTGGTTCTGAAATAACCATCTTCTCCATGTTGCTGTGCAAAGCGAGGTTAAGACAAAATAAGACAAAAAATAAGACAAAATAAAAAATTTTAAAAAATGTAAATAAAAACGAAGAATGAATATTCAACTGTCAAGATTAGATCTGACGGTGCCCCAGAACTGGAAAGGCTGGCAAACTGTCATGTCACATCAGTGAGTTAAATAAAATAAAAAACAACCTGCCCCGTTTTTAAGACAGCCAAGCTTTTTTTTTTTGGTCTTCTGTCATTATAACGCTGCAAATTTGGGGATTTTCAGTCATAAAATCAGACCATTGTAAGTATGTCCGGATGAAGTTATTCACATGTGACTGCTTGTCTTAAAATATTATTTATATAACTAAATTAAACCACACGTCACCTCCGTTGGCCAGGCTGCTGTTGACCAGCTTGTTCATCAGGTTGTGGCTGCGCTCGGTCGTCGCCCGCTCGTGGTTGTTGAGGTAAGGCGGGATGTAGTTTGAAGTCAGCTCCTTCAGGATCTTCTTCTCCAAGGTGGTCTCCTTGTGGTTGCTGTGGGTGCCGTAGCCGCTGCTGCGATCTAGAATCTGAACGCAGTCGCTCAGGTACTCGCTGCTGGCCATGCTGTAGTTGTTTGCATGGTTGCCATTCAGAGGGAGCGTATCCATGACACTGGAGTCTCTTGCGTTGTTCAAGATGCCCTCTGACGAGGCAAAAAGACAAAACAAGAAGAGTAAAGAGGATTTTTCCCGATACCACATGACGGTTTTATAATCTTTAGAAACACGGTATGTGTTTGAGTTGAGTTGAGGATTTAAAAATCCAATGATCATTTCTTGAGGGGTAAAAAAAAAGCTTTGAGTCATCCGTTATTTCTTTCTCGGTTACATCAAGATAAACATCAGTAGCATAAAACTTATAGCTCCAGTACTCACAATATAAATGTTTTGATGTCTCAGTTTCTGCAATTATATTGCGAAGAACTTTTAGATGAGATGGAACAAAGGATGTAGGAAATACTTAATTAACCGTAAAAGACAATTATGAGAGGTTTACCCACGTAGTTCTGAGGTGCAATGCATTACGTCTGACATGAGTAAAGGATAAAAAAAACAACTGTCGATACAATTCCTCATTTAAAACACTCAGAAAGAGCATTTATTGGGCACGGCTCATTTTCTCCACACACTCGGTGGACGAACAAATGATATAAGAGAGAGAGAAAAAAAAGCATTTTGCACAGCTTGTACTGAGTGTATTTTGGTTTGAGTAGTGTAGAAGAAAAAAGAGTAAAAGGACATTTAATGCTGGCAAAGTAGAGTTGAGGTAATTTTAATCAATTTAGCTCTTACTTGTGTCTCGGTATGGTGCTGTTGGATGGACGGCATGGGGGAGGAGAGAGAGAGAGAGAAGACACACAGGTGAGTTCACACAAAACCTGCCACATTCACAGCTCAAAATCAGTCCTATAGCACAGAATTTCTACACATGTACACCAATCCACCATGACCAGCCACCTAACACGGATGTAGCTCTTCCACAGCTCTGACCAGTCAGGGTGTGGCATGAAACCATATTAGGGATTCCAGAAGTGTCTGTTGCTGGGATGTTAGCAATAGATCCTTTCGGCCCTGTTGGATTAGGGGTGAAGTTTATGTGGATTGGGCTTGCTTTCCACGGAGGCTATTAGACAACAGCAGATTGGAATTTGTGGAGTTTGGAAGCCGGATTAAAGATTGAAGTCACGCTCTTTGAGCCATCCCTTCGTGGTTTCTGCATCGCCCTCTGCTGCTCCACTCGGGGAGCGCTGTTGCCTTGTGGCTTGGGTTTGGGTGTGGGCGCATTTGCCTAATGGTTGATCGCTGTGTGAATTTACACATCCCTAAATGACAAGTCATATGGTTTCCCTCTTTTTTTTAATACAGATCAAAACCATAAAAGCACACAAATGACAGTTAAAACTGCTCATGCAACTCAAGCCCGGTGTCTCAAAGCAAAGTTCAAAATGACGCAAATTAAATGAAATAAAACTCGATGGCTCCCAGGTAGCTTATAAAAGACATCTTCAGCATGCAGACGCCGTTGCGCGCACACACATGCACGTACACACTAACACACACCGATTTCTATACGTACACATTGCAATGTGATTCACCTCACATGGGAACAACGAAGCAAAGTGATTTGAACGAAGCAAACATTTTAAAATGAAACAGCCATGCAAAACACATCTAGCAAATAACTTCAAGCTAATTTCTAAGAACATTCATATAATAGGAACATTAGGCAGACCTTGGGTGTTGTACATGCCCACGGCTGGGTTGTTATAGACTGCAGAATCCCCCAGGAGAGTGTTATAAGGGTTGTTAGTACCATGGGGACGAAGGAGAGCATTAGTTATAAGATGATTAGCCATGGCTCCTGGTTCAGGCAGATAGAGAAAGAGAGAGGAAGAGTGACAGCCAGGGCGAGACATGAGGAAAAAGGAAAACGAACAGCCAAGTCAAGAGAGAAAAAGAGAGAGAGAGTGCTCGAGAGTGAAAAAAAAAGGCATGGTGGAGACAGAGGTTAAAGGAGGAAGCGTGTAGCCATTGCGGAGTGGAAGTAGGCAAGAATTGGAAAATCAAAGAGAGGGAAAGTGAGATGGAGAGCAAGTGTGTGGAAGAAAGAGGGAGAGAAGAGGACAAGTGAGTCAAACAAGCAAACACAGTTTAGGGAGGAAGCAGAGGAAAAGCTTGACAAGTGATTCTCGCAGCCACTGCGCACAGGCTAAGGGAGGGGACGGAAGACAGAGACAACGGGAGCTTAGCATGGCTCAGAGCAGGCTGTGCTTCAGTTCAGTGCGCTTGAGCGGAGAGGCATGACTACAGGACAGCTAATGGACAAAAGAGCCACGAAAAAGAAAAAAAAAACACTCCCAGCTGGGAGACAGATTATATATACATTAAGATAAATACTGAAGTCAAATAACCAGGACAGGTCTAATCTATTTCTCCTCCAACTGCATTCTACGTGTGTACCCGTGTCCTACAAAATCAAAAACGTGGAGGCCCCTAGAACATCTCAGTGCTGGCTTAATGAATGGTCTTCACCTCTGGTTGTAATGCTTGAGTCCAAAAATGTTGCTAATCCCTCACTGACAACGGGTTTATCCCTTTTCTCACATAAGAAAAGGGAAACTTTATCGTTTTTATTCCACCTACAAATACAATTGGGCACTTACTGAAAGAATGTTAGATGTATTTATTCTTTATAATCTTAATGACTGGATTGTCGTCTCTTAACTGGCTTCTTATGATTTTTTTTCAAATAATTGAAGGGGAGGATTATGGTGCAAATGCAAACAAATGCTACAGATACAAGTGATCATCAGCATGTACTTATGGCAGCTTGACCTGACACTTGGAAGTGTAGGACCAGAGAGCATTCTCTCTCATTTCTTGAGCATTACTGGTGAGCGATATACTGTTAATTTTTTTCAATAAATTGGAAAAACGTTTTTTCCTGTATTTAGTTGAAAAAATATTTTTAACATTTCCTTTTACCTAGAGTACATTCAGAATATGTTGCTGACGCAAAAATATTTAGAAACCATTCACATATAATACCAGCTAGGGATTTTTAAACTTTTTTACCAAATCAAAAGATCATATTGGCATCATCCATCTTGCTAAGACTATACATATTAGTATGTGATGTAACGAGCCCTTTATAACATACTTACTTAAGTTTTAACACTTATCATATTACTGCTTTATTTTAGGAGATTCTATTGTTATCTGTTATGTGGCCATGTGAAAAAGAAATAGATTAAATATACCCATTTGGTTTAAAAACCGCTGTGTAAAGTAAAAAAGTAAAACAAACGGTTTTCCACAGTTAGCCTATGTTTCCGGATGACGTAGGTGCTAAATGTTAAGTTTCCGCCCTGGAAATCCGACTCGCAACTCCTGAACAGGAGTTCGGAGCGCCTCCTAATGTCTTGTCTGCAGATAGGATTAAATCTGTCAAACAGCGTGGAATTACAGCTGCCACAGATTATGAGCTCGAAAAGACCATCTGAAAAATGCCCTGTCTTGAAAAAAATAGGGTGTAGCTACCTCATGGAGGAGGCTGTGCATTTTTGACTACGACAACACGGAGACGGGAGACAAACCAAATGCTTTTTGACAGGGTGTCAATTTTTCCTCCCCCTCCGTTTCTACAATACAATCAATATGTTGTGTGGTTGCTCAACGTGGGTTTGACACCATTTCCATATCACCTAAGTAATACGACTACCTTCTTTGGGTCTTATTCTGTCACTGTCAGCGGCTGCTGCCATTACTCAAGTGTGTTTGACTGGCAAAAATTTGCACGTCTCTGAGGAAGCTGTGTCAACTTTTGTTACTGTCACCGCCGTTATTCCACAGAACTATTTCTCAGTGTAGGAAGCGGCGTTGCTCGAGACGCGACAGAGGAAGCGGACGTCTGGATTTAAAATTCCAGCATTTCTAACACCTCGTCAAAAGAAGAAAAGGAAAAAAAAAGAAAGAAAGACAGAAATTGATTGAATTAATTTAATGTAATTCCACCCTCACTCAATATGTCACAGTATCTGGTCATTTGAAAATCTACTGGCTGTCCAACGCACTATAAAAGCCGGGAGGGGGACAGAGGAGGAGGTGTGAGTTTCTTAAGCCCTGCCTCACTAAGTGTGTGATAATTCAAGTGCTGACACACACCGTGCCTGCTTTAGTATCAATCTGTCATGCTAACAGCTTATTAGTGGCCTGAAGAAAGCGAGGGCCACCCCTCAGCTTTGAGGCTAACAAATGGCAGCGCAGCCTGGATATTTAGGTATATACACACTCATTACAATAGCCCTCGGACGGCCATACTCATTGATTCTGTTCCTGGGCTCCGAAATCAGTTGAACTAAGTTCCAGCGTCATTAACTCACTGGAGTATCCTTTAAATTAATACATAGAATTGCACTCAGCTGGTCATCCAGATTCTAAGGTGTGAGCCAACCTACGCTCAGATCCACCCTCTTTCAGTATACATAGTTTATGTCAGGTCTGAAAAGCAAACTGTGACCTGCGACAAAAAGCATACTGTAGGGTTAAGTAGCAACAAGTTTGTCAGAAGATTCGCTGGTCTCCGTTTCTGGGAAGGGTAGTGAGCCCACTCCAGAGCAGTGTGACATCTGGCTCTCTACAAAGAGAAAAGTCATTCCCAAGCAGAGCTGTATTTCAGACTCCACGAGCCTTTGTTAGTATGTAAAATGTTCAGGTTTTCACGGGGCTGAACAAACACGGCTTGTTTGAAAGGAACGTCAGGAGAAAGCTTTCATGCTCTGAAAAAAACATGGAGGGCAAAGCTCTTATAGGCAAATCTAAACAAACCACAGAACGTCTGGAACCATGTCTTTTGGACAAATGGGACCAAAGTGGAGACGTCTGGTCTTAATGCACAGCCGCACGTTTGGCTGAAAGCAAACACTGAATGTCAGCACGGACACTTCATAGCGACTGTTAAGAAGAGTTATTGAGGTGTGATGAGCCTGCGGCCAAAGGCCACCTGGACACTTTGCAGTCATTGAGACCACAATGAAGTACTCCCTATACTGACGTATTCTACATTGAAATGTGGGGCCAACTGTCTGACAGCTAAAGTTTGGCTGAAACTTGGTCAATGATCCTAAACAGAGAAAGATTAATAGCATATGGCTGAAAAAGGAAAAAAAAATCAAGGTGTTGCAATCATCAAGCTGGTATCCAGATCTTAACCAATTTGAAGTACTGTATTTGGACTGGATTAGTAAAAGAAGATTAAATAACCTTAGGCCTTTCTTAGATTGAAAAAGCAATAAAAAGGACCGAATGATTTATGCAAACCATCTAAAAAAGACAAAAGGCCAATTGATATTTACCACAACGCTTTGAAACAAATCTATCCTTGGAAAGAGAAACTCCCTGTTGAACAATTACCTTGCAGATGTACACTCTGACTACAAACTGACAGAAGATTTGCTCCTGACAAGCATGCCTTCCATCTCTCTCTCTTCCGCTCTTCTAGAATATGACACAGCTATCAGCAGCTTGGACGTCCTCTACTTTGCTAAACGACAGCGTATGCTGCCTGCGCAACCCGCTATTAACAAAGCAGATATGGTGACAGTGATGAGGGTGCAAATGCTAGGTATCCCATGGTTACCTCTGTTGAGCGTGGCGGAGCTGTTGATGTCTCCGGTGATGAAGGAGGACTCCTGTTTCCTCACAGTGTCGTTCCACATCCTCCTGATGCGGCTCTGTACGTGGGAGAAAAAGGAGGGCCAGAGAGAGACAGAGACGATGGGCAAAGGGCAAAGATGGTATGGGCAAAGGCAACAGGGGGTGGGGGAAAATGATGGCGTGTAGAAGGTTGGGGTGAAGAGGTGGGTGCAAAGGCAAGATGACAAAACAGGGGGAAGAAACATTAAAGAAAATAAGGGATATGATGGGCAAAGGAAGGGCAAATTAGTGCACAGGAGCCAGTGAAGGAAAAAGCAGCAGCCAAGAAACAGGCAAGGAATAATAATAATATTAATAATATAAAAAATAATAATAATAATAACAATAATGATAATAATAATAAAGCATCAGTGGTGTTCTCCCTTTGTATACTTATTTGTCAGCAAACAATACCCATTGTAGCCATTGTAGCTTTAGGATACCCAATAAATAATAAACGGTATCCACATCTCATGTCGGCCGTATGCGGCCTTCATATGTACGACATTGCACTGTAGGGATCTAAGAGGTGGAGAGTTCTTTGCAATGACCCCAATCCCCCGTAAGGCGCGCTCTGGCCTCACCTGTGAGTCGGCTGTGCTGTAGCGTCCGGCTGTGCAGGCAGGTAAGCTCACCTGTGAGCCTGTGGAGTAGCGGCCTGGCGTCCGCGAGGTGGTGGTCTTACTGGAGGAGGAGATGGAGGTCTCCACGCTCTTGCCGCTGCAGCAGTGAGTGCGCAGACATTTGCCGTACTCTTTGCGCACCTGGAGGAGGAGGAGGGGAGGGGTGAGGGGGTGGGGGTTAGGGAGGGGTCTGGGGTGACCGCGTTAGACCGCACACATCGACAGGAGTGGACAAACTGATGTTCCACCTCCACCTCGCGCATTCCAAAGTCTATTTTCAACATGGGGCTGGATGAAAAAACAAACTCCTCTTTTGCTGCGATTCCCTGTGCAAACACTCCAGCCATGAAATTTAGACATTAAAAGATTAACTGCATAAACTTTTCCGCAGTCAACATTCCCCCCTAAAAGCCGTCTGAAAATGGGCATATTCTTCAGGGAGACATATGATGCACTTGTACACACACAGCATCTGCACTTAGATCCCAATCAAGTTAGAACAAATAAGACCGTAATTGATTTTTAACAAGCTAGTTGGACTGGCAGACGTGTATTGCCACATGCTCTGTTTGAACAGCTGTGCGCGCCGAGTTGCTCTATGCATCTTGGGAGCAACTGTGCTGGGCGCCGGCCAAAGAAAACCTCGGCCCCGTTCGGAGGACTTTTCTCTGGATAGCTGATCCCCGTGGCCTTTGTGCGCGCATGCACTTTTTCACCGGTCGCACACTTAAAAACTCTCAGCAGGCGATGATGGCATTAAGCATTTGATGCATTTGCTTTCTATACCCTACACCTCTTCTAGCCTGGATTGCTCTGACAGGGTGTGGGAGAGCCTGTAAAAATATCCCATGATGTGTTGGCTCTTGTTGGGCACCATATATAACTCGAGTATAAGAAGCAACACATCTGTGCATACATTTTCTAGTTATCTTTACGGCCAATCTACCAGAAATAACAAACGGATGGCATTTAAAGAAAAAAATGAGGAATGCTTTGGGGATGGACTAAATGGACTGATGACCTAAATTATAGAAATCCTCAGGGGAGTGGTACCGTCACCTCCGCCTTGCAGATATCCAAATAGACATTTAATATATCCTCCCAGGGATGATACCAAGAATGATTAAAACTGAGCATCATGATGACGTGAAGCATTCTGTTCTGTCGGAAACCGAAACTGACAATCTCAGTCTGTTACCTGCCGTATGATAGACGGTAGAGGGAAAAAGTTGGCTGGCTTGAGCGCTTGGGTGCATTTGTCCACTCGGCGCCTTCCTGCCCAGCTTTGTGTGACTGACTCACCTTTTTCTGTAAGATGCAGTGGAAGATGAAGATGAACATTCCCTGCAGAGAGTTGAAGATGGTAAACAGGTAGGCCATGATCACGGTGCTCTCGTTGATGTACATTAGGCCGAAGGCCCAGGTGAGGCCGAGCAGACACAGCAGGGCTATGGCGCCGATGACCCATGACCTTAAAAGAAGCAAACACAAAATGACTATACGTTCTCTGCAACTTGGGCCTCAAATGTGTTAGTCTTTTTCTTTTCAAGGTTTTGAGAAACTAGCCAGGGCTAATGGGTGTGGGACCTGGAGAGAGGGGTTAGGTAGGGTTCATTTGCAGCCCTGAGACTATGGGAACGGAATGGGGAAACAGTGGGAGTTTTGCTTAAAGGAATTATATCCTTAACTAGCCTGGGCGGATTTTCTCATTTAGATCTCATCTCAAGAGGATGGAAGGGAGTTTGTAATCTAGTTGACGTCATCCACTTGGATGAGAGAAAAGGAAATGTTCCATATTACACTTTTATCAAGACGCAGCCACACTTTATCAGCTTAAAGGCATGGCAGGAGGCAAAAACAACAGTTTCACAGCCTGGAGTGGGCTCGAGAAATCTCTTAGTGCAATCTTAACAACTTAATGTAATCTAATATAATAATAAAAATAAATTGAAAAAAGTTTTCAAGGCTGTGAACCCTCATTCCGAATAATGGCTATGAAGAATGAGTCATAGGCCAAATGCCAAAGAAATGTAGTCATGTCGTGGCATGTATATCATTTGCAAGCCTTCGCCGAAGCGTGTGTTTGTGTGTGTGCGAGCGTACGCGCGTTTAAGCGTGTCTGAGTGTGTGCATGTATCCATGTGATTGGCTTCTCGGGGTAGTAAGTAGAGGGACATTACAGCCATTACAAATGACATTTCCCACAAAAGGTCACAGTTTTGGGTCTGCCACAGCTGAGAGGATGACCATTAATTTGACTGGCTGACTGGGCAGTGGTCACCTCCACTGCCACAGATAGAATCAGGGAAAAGCGCCCAGTGAAAGAAAGAGGAGGGACGGAGAGAGAAGCACGCAGAGGGTAGAATATTAGGAGAGTCACGAAGGAGGAAGAGAGACAGAGGAGGAGAGTAAGTGAGTGAGACTGAGGTGATTGATTCGACGCTGCCCTCTGTGGCACCATTCAGGCGAGACAGAGCCTCCAATAAAGCTTGTCTGATGACCCTCTTCAATAAAGGGTACACTCTTCCTTCTCTTTTTCCATCCCACCATTTTACCTCCTCCTCCAAAGCCTTCTTGAGTCTTAAGTTCACTCAGCTGTTTCCCGGAATTCACGTGCTAGGTTATAATATTTCAAAAGCTCAACAGACCTTTAGATTTTAGCGGCTATGAATCACTAACAGACAGGAATTTCCAATGTCAAATCTGGGCTTTTGTAAGGAAGTTTGGCACTTGATGCATGGACGATGTGGTTCCGTGCACAAACTAGAAAACATGTAAAACAAACAAAAATGTCTGCAGCTGAGCGGAGGGCGACCTTACCAGAGACAATCCACAACAAAGATAACTTATGATGGCTTGAGGTTAAAGAGACAAAGAAAACAAAGGGAAGAAAAAGAAATATAAGACACAAAGAATAAGACAAAAAGAGTATGATGATGATTAATGAACAAATGAGCCACATTAAGTCAAGATTAATGAAGTAAAATAGATTTAAATCTAGCCAGCCTTCAGTGTGCTCACGAAGGAAAGTCATTAAAAAGAAAAAGAGGGACCCAAAAGCATTTCATTATAAATCTTCCTTTGAATTTCATCTTTCATCAGGCCCATTCAAGACGTTTCCCTCAACTGCAGAAAAGCAAAGATCAGCCTTTGCCTTTATTCTCTGAAACTCTTTCCCCTTTAAGTTCTGCTAAAGCAGCTGTCATGAAAGATTCATGGGCAATAATATTTAAATGATACTTCAAGAAACAAGTGAGTCATTTTGTGATTTACATTAGGAATTATGATCTCGGTAAATCATTGAGCTCCTAGCTATAACAAATAGTGTGAATTACAGCAAGACTTTTTGTGTTGAGCTTGGTTAGAGTAAGAAAATATCTGTTGGTTAGGTTGGTGAAAACTCTTGGTGGAAACTGTACGACAGAAATTAAATTTAGCTTCAAATAGTCAGTAGGGGTTGCACTGGTACAAAGAACAAGACTGATAATAATGATGAGATTGATTTAATGCGTATCATCTCAAAATGATGCATAATTGAGTTGAGACATGCTTTATTCAACATTGTGACTATTTAAAAGATAGCTGGATATTTTATTTGAATGAAAAAAAGTTGTAAGCTACTCAAAAAAATCTAACTAGCCTCATTCCAATCAGTCTTTGTCTCTTTCAGAAAATGTAAAATGTATAAATACATAGGTCAAACAACAATAGTTGCTGAACTTATAGATGCAAGTGTGAGTTTTGTTACTATTATACAAAAACACTAGCGGATGTAAGCTAAGCTAAGTGTTTGGCCTACAATATAACTTTTGTCCTAAAGACGTATTTAAACCAATAATATCCTCTCATTTTTGTTTAATTTAGTGTTTTATTTGTTTTTAGGTGATTTTGTACAAAGCATTTGGCAATAGTAGGTGTTTTACCTGCTGTAAAATCTCTAAATGTGAAGCTGACAAATAGACCAGCTGGATGCTTGAAATAAGACTGAGGAATGATTTCTATTTAGTTTTTTACATTAATCCCAACTCAAACCCCCCAAACTTATGGAGTTGGAATACAAAATACAACATACAATTTTTAAATATTTTTTTCAACTTTTCCATTGCACTACATTTTCTTGAGAGGTGAAACATCGACATTTAGCTAGTACCACACTGCTATCTGCCAACTGCTTGTACTGTGTGGTAAAATACTAATGTAGCACAACATTCCTTGGTTAATTATTTGTCCAAGGTCAAAGTGAAGCATAGTAAAAATGCATAATAGAGCATGGAGTCTTACAATTTAACTTTAAGTTTGTTAAGCTGCGCCAATTTCGAGAGCAAAGTTTCACTTTTCTTCTGTCAAATTGAGCAGCTACTAGCTTAGCTCATCTATGAGCTTTCATGCCTGGTTTTCCAAACTACTGTCCACACCAGCAAAGACACCAACTACTCGGAAATATTCTTGACCAGATCCCAAAACCTAAACTAATATCCTGCAACATGTTTCAAAGGAACTCATCATTAACAAACTCAAGTTTGAGAATCCATTAAAAGGAGCCGAAGTTGTGTTTGTTGCTTGCAGCTGTTAGTCAGATTCTTTATTCGACTTTAAAAAGTACCCACTGCTTCATGGGGTTAATTAGTCTTCACTTATGCAGCAGAGACAAGATGGGTGAGGACCTAAGGGTAAATTACACTCCGTACTTTTCCTCACTTAAGACAGGTGGATTGCCCCACAAAGACTCACAGCTTCACAGTTGGAAATTTTGTTATCCAACAGCTGTCTGGACCTTGACTTCTGAGCTCTATCACAGCTGTTGGGATATTTTTTCTTTTTTTCACATGGTTAAAAGTCTTCTCTACTTCCCTGGCTGGCTATATTTTAACTTAGAGTTTATGCAAAATTCTTAATTTTGAATTTTGATTCTCAGTATTTAGTATGATTTTTGTGTGGCTAGATGCTTTCCACGATGACATGAAATACTAACAAAACTATCAAAACACGGCAATAATGTTTTCTGTTGATTTAGTTTGACGACCTTTGATTATTTGTGTTCATAAGAAAAGCAACCGGAATAAATTATTGAAAAAATGAAAATCAACAAAGGTCAAAATAAAAAGGAAAACAGAATGAAATGACATAAAGACAAAATACAAACAAACACTAAAACTGTCAAAGTATCAACTCTTCCTTTGGCTTAATTTACACATCCATGCTTGATCACACTTGCTTTCAACACCTCGCGCACACAACGTGGTGGCAGGATGGAGGAGCGAACAGAGGAACTTACTTGATGTTGTCAAGACATCCAGAGTCTGGCTTAAGGATGGCTGTGTGGTGGAACATCTTGTAGAGGGCAATACCGAGGAAGATTACATTTAACTGAAACACACAGACAGTCACACATGCATGTTACTTTTCTGCAGCGCCAAGGCAAAAAGAGAAACAGTGTCATCTCAGAAAATTGTTTTAAAACAGACACATTGTTTCATTTGATTCTTTCAGACGTCATTGCCTTGGAGGATCAACCCACAAGCGGCGTCCTTTCTTGGTTTAAAATACAGCAACTCCAAATGAAAGGATCACATAACAGCCATTACATTCCTGAATGATCGCCGCTTCATTTCTAAAGACGGTGTCAGTTCGACTGGATTGCCGACGTGTACGATGGGAGGTTTGGCGATCTCTGCCCGGCCTGTAGTGTGCATTTCCGAAGCCGTCGCCAGTGGGAGCGGGCCCTAACACAGCCCTTTCTCCTCCACTGCTCTCTCTCCTTTCCAGCACTTGCTAGATCAGTGATAACCCGCCTGACATATCTAAACTGAATACAAAGCATCAGCTTACAGGCAACTGGGAACATGTCACGCTGTTTCATTCGGTACCCAACGCTGCTTTTTATCTTCTTTTTTTTCCCCTCTTTCTGTCTGTGAGTCTACACAGTTGTTTAGCTCTATTTCTGTTGCTTTTTGACTTACTCGTGGTGAAATGTCTGTTCCTCCCTCTCGCGGCAGTTTGCCGACTGCCGAACCTCGTTCAGCGCGGCCTGATAAACGGACTGATGAAATTAGTCTGACTCCCTGGCAGCTCGCGGTTCCCCAGCGTTGGTGCCACTGGCATCGATGTCAACAGCTGGGCCCGGACGAACGGCGCAGTTCGGATTGTTAAATAGGTGCCAAATGGCAACACGACTTTGCTGAGCTCCCCATAAATGTGTGTAACTCCGCGTCCCCTCCAAAAGGTTTCAAGCTTGTCGGAGAGCGTGCCTACTCGAGAGCTAATCCGTGAGTGTGGATTTATAAGCTGACATGTAAACTTTTGCTACTTGAAGCTGCTGGGGAGCTCAGGCAAAAACTTGCAGTGATTACCCGAAAACCTTAATGTGACCTTTTTGTTCCTGCACGAACATGCGGCAGGAGTTCTCCTTGTATTGGCAGAGCTCTGTCAAGGGTGTGCGAGCAAGAACGTGTTTGTGTGTGAGTGAGTGTGTGTGTGTTTGTGTATCTCACCATAATGATGAGTGTAGCGGGCCCTATGAAGCTCCAAATGAAGTATGTATCCAGCCGCAGCCAGCACCTAGAGACAGAAAAGATGAAGAGTGAGACGGTGGAGACAAAGACATCATGCATGAGAAACACTGGGAAGAAAAACAGGAGGGGAAAAAAGACGCACGGGGATTAAAAACACACTCCAGTCTCAGATGGATGCAGGCAGGCAAGGATTTACAGTTATAGGACGGGACATGCATCACGCTCAGACACGCACAAGGGTGGGGGGAGGGGGGGGGGGCAGGAAAAAAAATGTACATTACAAGACAAACAGTATATCAAATCCTTCATGACAGAGGGAGGGACAAAAGGAATTGGGCTGGGTGAAAAAGTGAAAGAGATGAAGAACAGCACAAAAGGTGTTACAGGTTGGAGGAAAATGGACGACGTGCACACCTCAAACATACATCACCCACGGAGGGGGGGAGACAGCGAGGGATGAGCACCTGTGATAAATAAACCTTTACTTCCCCCCTGAGGGGCGCAGAATATATGCCACGTCCTGTGGTCGCAAAAAATATGACATGGCCGTGTTCATTTAAATACTGAGTTATGGATGTAGATCTCACTAGGCTATTTATGGACTCCGGGAATGGCTGTGAAGTCAGAGGACGGGGGAGGCGCCTAATTCCTGCACACGAGAGCGCATGTAGGACGCCAACACGTCAGACACACCCGGCTATTTCTGACCCCGGGGGCTGCTTTTGGTTTTTAAAGGATATACAGCAGTACGCTAAACCGTTCGCCCAAACGTCCCCAGTCACCGACGGCAGCTAACGAGGGCAAACATTTCAAAAAAGAAAGACAGTAGAAAAAAGACCAAAGTGCCCTCCGTTGAGGTCAGGTCTAACTGGTTGCAGAGAAAGGTGCCAGGGAGAAACCATTGGAGCAAAATTGCCAACTGATTCATGACCAGCTGCTTTTGAATTATTAATCTTTCAATTTCCAACACATTAGCGAGCCCTCCATTATAGGTCCCTGACTGTGTCACAGTATCCTCCATTAGGGCTCCTTTTGCCAAGTCATAGCCACCTTCATTATGGCTTCCGAATAGGGCTCTGCGCCACCGGCCGCCGTGGACGGCAACGAGGTGCGCTGCGTGACAAGGTGACACAGCAGGGATGGCAGATGATATTTTCGGAAGTTTTTGTCCCAACGTGTTATGTCAAAAATGATAAGCGGTGTCGCTTTAAAGGCCGGACTGATAAATGAGTCATGAAAGACCTTTCTTTCAGTGAGACGGGTACTTTGGCGGGGGAACTACTTCTGTCGATTACTTTTCAAATCAGCGAGAGCCGCGGGGCACCGGGGGCTATTTAAAAGCTATTTGCGTGCAATATTAGCAAAAAACCACTGAGGAAAATCGCCCTCGCAGTGACGATCGCTTACATCCAAGATGTGGGAGGATCTGGACTCCATTCTAGAGAAAACAAAACAAAAAAACTGTCCTCTAAAACTGGTTTGTTGATGATGGCGCGCAGTGCGATTATTCCTCCTGAACTTGGCATGCAGCCTCTCATGTTTTAATGATCGCCCTGCAATGAAATATTGATCTAAGTGGCCTGCGAATTGGTGTGTCTTGATAGTTAAACATAGCTAAAATTCATCCCCTCCCATGTCTTCAAAGCTAATAGACATGCGGCTGGTGGAGAGCTGTAATGTGTGAACTATGGAGGGCCCAGAGAACAACTGGCATAAGCATTTAAGCAGGTGAATCACTCTATGGTGGTGTAGCTTCCTGTCATTTTTAGGGAAAATTACTCTACAGGGAGCTGTAGGAGTTTGTTTCTAATTCATTTTTGATGGACACAAAATAGATGCCAGGTCACAGACATGTGGCTAGAGCACATCGCAGGTGCATTATGAGTTCAATGGGAGTAAGATATTGGCCTCTTTTGGAGTTAAATCATGAATCAATCCACTCAAGTGAAACTGGGGGGGGAATCGTGTTTGCTTTTGTTTATTTGTAAGTTGCCTGATCTGCATACGCTTCATATGAATGAGATGCTTCCTGTCTCTAGGAAGTCTCACAGTGTCTGAGGTTGGGCAAGTCAAGCGTGCATGACTACGTGACCTTGCGCTTTAAAAAAAAAAAAAATCCTCATCCTTTGCCGCTGTGCATTCTCGCCCCGCAGAGGCCGGTTTGATTTCAGCACACTCGAGTGCGAACCAGTGCCGACGTGTGCACGGCCTAACAGACTGCTCCATCACTCCCTTCCCAATCCATTCATTCTCAGTCTTTTTTTTTCTCCCCCCTCCTGTCTGCTCCGCTGCACAGCGACCCCTCCTTCCTCCCCTTCCCGCTAAATCCTTCCATATTCGCACATTATAGCTGCGGCGCTCATGCGGGCACTCTGTGGTGCCTCCTCTCCTGCTTGTCCACACACTTTCCCTCCTCTTTTTCATCCCTCTCAGTTTCTCTCCCCTCAGCCTCTCCGTTATTGACTCTTGAGAAGTGCCAAAGCTTGTAGAGTCCACTGTGGCAGACGCAGCCAAAATGACAGCAGGCACTTCTTGTTTTTTTTTTCTTTTTTCTCCCTTCTTTTTTCTTCACTAGCCAGTCATCCTCCTTTCATGCTAGGCACTTTTCCCCCTCCTTCCTTACACTCTATCGGTGCCATAGCTCCTGTAGTCCACCGCAGCAGAGACAGCCACTATGACAGCAGGCACTCCGTATCCTGCCAGGTAGAAGTACTTAGTCCTGGAGTGCTCGCTCTCGAACACCTCCACCAGCATGATGTAGAGCTGCACCCCTTCCAGGAACATCCAGGTGAACGCTGCCAAGAAGAAGAAATGGAGCAAGGCCGCGAAGACTGCGCAGACAATCTGGTGGGAGAGAGAGGAGATTAAGGGGAATTACACGCACACACAAACCTCACACAAGAAATTCTCAGGAAGCATTTAACCTGGTAGACATTTGCACTGATTAAACACCACAGGCGATGAGGGTATTAATCAGATTTGGAGGGTAATGATTTATCATATTCGGGGAGAAAATGTGAGGGATTTCAAATTTGGCAACACCGGGACGGACAAGAGGAGCGAGAGCAGGCCACTCTCAGCAGTGCTTTTCCAGTGCTCTGAGTTTACCATCTGGTCCCTCATTGTAACACTTCTAAATTAAACAACTCCGACATGATTCAAGTGCAAAATCCCGGATTTAGTTTACAGTGATTTTATTACGGATCGGGTCCCACTGTGTACACATTACAGCACTTTCTACACATCCCGCCCCTCCTTTCAGGGTGCCACAGTGTTGGGGACGATTGATTTCCCAGGTGTTTGTGATTAATCGGGTGTGTTTCATTGCTTCATTATTACTGGAAGGCATGAGGAAAGCATCAATCAAACCTTTAGGATTACCAAAATCAACTGTCGGGAATATCATTAAGCAGAAAAGAATACGCTGGCATGCTCGGCGCTGGCGCCGTTAGGCCGAGGAGGACTGCTGATGACGGAAGAATTCAGACATTCAAGAAAAACCCTTAGACGTCTGTCCAACAAAAAAACCCTATCTGTGAGAGAGTTCATGAACAGAAATACAGAGGCTACACTTGTGCAGGATGGCCAGATTTGCAGAAAAAGGGGTTAAAGGAAACTGCAGAACTGTGGAAAATGGTGCGATGGAAAGACAAAAGCCAAAATGAGTCCATGTGATCACAAGTGATCCCAAAGCAGCAGCTCATCGGTTAACGACGCTGGTAGGGGTGTTATGGCGTGGCCCTGTGTGCTGGAAACAGGTACTGGCTCTCTTTTCTGCTCCGATGATATAACAGCCGATGGTGTTCGTGTCATATCTGTTCCACTAAAAGTTTTTGAACCCCTTAGACTTCATCCTACAACATGTCCATGATCCCAAACATACTGCCGAGGCAGCATTAGAACCTCTCAAATATGGAAAAATAAATAGTCTCTTGATCTGGATAGAATGAAGGTAGTGGACGTATAAAAATGCTGTGATATGTGCACTTTGTTTTATTTAGAAATATTAACAAAAGGAGCAAAGGGGGAAGCCAGGGGAAAAATTTACATTTTCATGGGGAACTTTGTGTATAGAAATATGGAGGGAACTTTAAACCAAAGAATATTATAACAGCTATTTGATTTGGCAGAATGACTCAAACTCACAGAAACTGCAACATTAACTGGGCCTGCATCACACTTTACTCACTGTGTGCAACACAAGAGGGTAAACCGGAATATATACGTGTTGTTGGTGCTACATCCTGTGCTGATTGATGGGATTTTAGACGATGAACTGTCAAAGGGAGCAGAAAAAGGGGGGAAGTTGAGAGATGGGTTGATGAGAGGAAAAAATTATTTGGCAACCCCTTTTAGAAATCCAATGTGATTTTTTTAGTCAAATCCAAAAAGACAAATTGAAATGAAATTGGTGCAAGACAAAAATAAATGACTCAGCAGCTTCATATTAAAGAGGCAAAGCAGAAGATTTGCTGGGAGATGCTTTAGATTGAGAAGAGAAGTTTTTCATTATTTTATCAGAGTTGAGGTGTGAATTTTAAGACAAACGTATAATTAACCTGCATATTACATATTATATGTTCCTCATAATGAATCAATATGATAACACATGTACTCACTTTGTGCTTGTACACTGACGATAAAAGAGTAAATATATATTTAATTGCACTGTTTATTGATAGCCAGTGAATCGGGACAGATAAAAGCCCTGTAAATCTGACAAAAGCAGAACAAAAACAGACGAGAGGTGGAGAAATGAAAGAGGAGCATCAAACCAAAAATCATGCTATACTGCTTTAGAAATGAACAGAGACAAAACGGAGAGGCGTGCCTTTGTCACTCAGGCGATGGCAATGTTCTAATCTGAGAAGTCACTCCTAAATCAGTCGGCGGAGGAGTGAACAGACTGACTTCAGTCATGGAGGAGTTTGCTGTTAGAGACAATTACCTAATGTCTGAGAGACAATGAGTTTAGGGGACGAGGGAGTCACTCATTTCCATTTCTAATGGTCACACAGTGAAGCTTGCAACACAGAGGCAAATACGCTCGCACGTGTGTGCACCCACACAGGTAGACAAAAAAAAAGAAAAAAATCCTGCTTATGCAGAAGTCATTAAGTTTTCCTTGAGGAATAACCGGATTAACCGGCTGTGAGCCAAGTGACGCCGGAGATGTTAATGGGGGTCAAAAATAGTCCCCAGTAATTAACAGAAGAACAGAATGCTCAAAAGCATACAAAGAAACCTGATCCTTGCCTACCTGACGCACACACACTAAAAGAAAAATGCATCAGTAGGAGGGCACTCCATCAGTTTCCTTTGTCTGTTCATTTCTGAAGAGAATATTTTCCCTCTGCAGCATGAGGAAAAGGGGGGTAGCTATCGGTACTTTCTTACTTAAGGACCTGCAAGTTATACCGAGCTCACAGACGCACACACAAAACAAGGTGGAAACTCGCTAAGAGATTTATAAGCTTTGAAACTAAACTATGAACGCTCTGATGGAACTTTTCTGTCATAAAACTTGGAAGCGCGTAACCATAACCCCACCCATAACCCCTGTTGTGGCAGGTTTGACGCCCCGAAGCACGACTGGTGTATTAAATGTAGGCAAATACAGATTATTCAAAAGAGAATTGCAACCATGTGTTTGAGCCAGAACAGTATCAAACACTACTGAAGATAAGGCTTTACATTGGCTGCCTGGCATCTAGTTAAAATAGCTTCACAAATCGTATAAAGTTGATTTAAAGAACCCTGCACACTCTCGGGCGCTTGACTGTTTAATTTGGTAGTACTACTCTTTGAACAAGCTTAGGTTTCTCAAAGTTTGCAGCAAGATGTTTCATTTTTCTTTATGTCTGTGGCAGAGAGTGCAGTCTGCTTTGCAGCCATCTGTTGGGGCAGCTGGATTAGAGTCACTGATGCAAAGAAACTTTACGAGCCAACAAAGAAGGCTGGCTGGGTGCAGGGGACTCCTCTGGAGTCCCAGGGTTTGTGTTAAGGGGTTTCTGCTAATGTGACGAAGCAATGTTCAAGTCAGAGGATTCTTCAGCCTTAATGCATCAAAGAATGATGCAGCAGGTCGTTCCGGCCCATATCGATAATTCTGTACAGTGACTTATTTATTTGGCTAGAGCAGGGGTCACCAACACGGTGCCCGCGGGCACCAGGTTGCCCGCACGGACCACCCGAGGCGCCCGCAGGCCTGTTCTAAAAATAGCACAACTCAATAGTGAGCAGCGTCTAAAATGTAATTTTGTTCCGTTGCTAATCTTTTTTAATCACACTTGCATTCATATAGATTTGATTTAAAATGACAATATCTTAAAAATATGTTCATTATATATTAAGTTTAAGTTTTCTCTAGTTCAAAGGTCAGTATTGTGCACGTGACAAAACAAAACCAGTGTCAGTGGAGAGTAAGCTAGCGGGCACAACGGAGATGGGTGTAGTTTCTTACCCCAAAAACATGGGAGAAAAACGAAAGAAAACTTATCACTTTCACAACGAATGGGAGGAGGAGTTCTTTTTTACGACTGTAAAAGAAACCTGCGTGTGTCTGATTTGCGGGGCAACTGTGGCGACGGCAAAGCGGCACAATGTTCGTGTCACAAAAGCTAGCATGCTAACTACCCACCGGAAACGGGCAGAAAAATCACATCTGAAATATGCACTCACTCACAGTTGCAGTGTCAAGTTACACCAGATTACAATACACTGGTGAACAGCATGCAATGCCAATCTGTTAAAGATTTGGTCATGAGATTTCAGATTTCTTTTTAATATGTGAGTAGATTTTTCTTTAACCTTAGATAATTGATAACTTTTTGAAACATGGTGCAACATAGTTCATGATTTGTTAAAAGGTTTTGTCAGTGGCTAGTGAAATTGAAAACTCCTATGTAAATGTAGTGATGTACAGTAAGTGATCATTTAAAAAGTTAACAGTTGCTGAGATAAACAGAGATAAAGTGGTGGATATTGATATGTTTCCCATTTTGTTGTCACTGTTGTCACAAATGAGTATCATTAATGATTATTAATAAAGTATAGCTAAAAGCATATTGAGGAAATGTATTATTTCAGAAGAGTGTATCAAATTGGTAGCCCTTCGTGTGACTCAGTACCCATGAAGTAGCCCTCCGTTTCAAAAAGGTTGGTGACCCCTGGGCTAGAGGATTAAAAAAAATCAAATTTTGAGAAAACCTTTCCGTGTGGAGTTCGCATGCTCTCCCCATGTAAATATAGGTTCTCTCTGGGTACTCTGGCTTCCTTCCACAGACCAAAAACATCAATGTTAGGTGACTAAAGGACTCCTTGGAATGTTAGTGTGTGGTTGTTTGTTTTGAAGTGGCCTCGTGATGAGCTGGAGACCTATCCAAGCTGTACTCCCTCTCTCGCCCAATGTCATCTGGGATAGGCTCTAGCAGCCCAAGGCCCGTATAAACAATGGATGGATTAAAACTTTAGTAAAGTTTCACTCCTTTGTCTTCACGCAAGTTTATTAAAATGATATTCGATTCAATCAACCAAATGTAGTAAGTCTGTTGTTTTGAATTTCAAACGCACATCTCTATTGGAATGTGGACTACACAGAACCAATTACCCAAATTCTATTGCCCATGGAAATGTACTGGGGGTTAGAAGTGTTTTGAAATCTATTCACAGTTGACTCTGAATTAAAGGAATCACTGACTGTGTATTTTGGTCAAAATATCTTTGCATATCAGTTGGTCCAAATCTTAATTGTGAGCCATTTGCGAAATGGTATCCAGTAATGTTGGAGATTACCTGGGTAGTATACTCTCATACAATAAATCTGATGCACATAGTCGTCTACGTAGTATAAACCTTTTAAAACACAGTATATCGAAATAAATGTTTAAAAAAGTCAAACAAAAATAGAAAATCATGCCAAGTTTTCTATTTAGCAGAGCGGTCTGGATGTTGCAAACTGAAGCTCAGCCATGACATCATCTAAGCCAACACGTACGCTTTAATAGATTATGTGGCATAGTCGGTGTAAAGTGCACTTTGCATTGTTAATCATTTCTGTGGTGTGTGGCAGTCGAGGTGTTTGACCTGCACATATTTATCATAGTAAAGTTACTTTGCCACCAATGTAGTGCAACCATTTATGAATTGGCAAATTGCAATGCATTTAATTTGTGGTTGTGCCCTGCACTCCAAATGACAATGAGGGCTGTAAAGAGAAATGGGAGACTACGGTAGTTGTATATCGAATATGTTTGTGTGTGTGTGTGTGTATGTGTGTGTGTGTGTATGTTTTTTAAGGCTGCCATATTTTCTTTTGTCACAATAGACATATGAAAAAATAAACTCCTCTATTATGTTTGTATAGGTCTAATGTGGTCAATGCGTGTCTAGAATGTGGACGTGTCACCATTTATTTTGCAAAAAAAGTTGCAGGATCATTGGTAAGAGTTGGTTTGCAATTCTGACAAAGACAGCTGCATCTTTAAAATAAAGACAGTTTGAAATATAACCTCAGAGCAGATTACAACATTTTGAATGTCACTGAATTCATTTCTAGCCGGTCTACCAAAGACCGGGCTTGTTACAGCTTGTATGAACGATTACAGCATCCTGTGAACATCCACCCTTCTTACCGGCTGATCGGCCTTGTTGATCCCAACCAGGAATAACGACTCGGCGATGAACAGACTGATACAGAGGTTCTTGTGAATGGTGTTGCGGTCGCTCTGTAGCCCTCTGAAGAAGCAAAAGGTGAAGATGCAGATAAGCAGGCAAACCAGCGACAGCAGGATGCCCACCCACGTGATGACATCCAGGAGCACGTCGTGCATACTGTCAGTTTTCTGCGAGAGAGGGAAAAAAAAGGCAAAGAGAGAGGTTTGCTTAAGTCAAACATCTAAGACGCACTTCCGAAAACACGGCGTCTGTAGCCAAAAGTGTGTACAGGATTCCATGTGAGGTGACGAGCCAACCCCTTCCCTCCCCATCGCCCCCGCCTCTGACTGATGCGAGTCTGGCTGTGTGTCGCTGAGCGTTCAGGGCCGAAGCGTTACGCTGCGCTGCACAGGTGTGCCGGCTCTATCCATCAGTGTCCTGCAACCTGGCAGGCAGAGCAATGTTCAACATAACATTCCTGTGATGGATCTACTGCTCGAAACCTCACACGGTGCTCACAGAGGGCTGCCAAGCCGGCTCTGACCATGACCTCTTCAGATGTAACACACATCCTCGGGGCCCCGACGGGAGAAAAATGGGTGCCGCGCTCTGTCCAGAGACATGAGAGCTGATTTGTGGGGAGAGGTGCGGCCTTAGCGTCAAATTAGAGGGAGACAAAAAAACCTGCTTATCCCACACAGGGCAGGACCATAATGCTTTTATCCACCCACTAGATATAATGGATATCCAAAGAAGTGCACTCACTTAACAGTCAAAATATCAATTTTACAATAAAGGGGTGATCTCAAGCTTCATTCCACAGCTGCTTTGCGGGAACAGAGCCCTACCGCGGGATTTGTTTGCCGCAGTTATATTTGATAAGTTTAATGCAAACTGTCTTCACAGAGCAGTTTTCTAAATGTTTCCCAGCCAAGTATGAGGCTTTAATCTGTTCCACGGATGTGTTGGTCTCCGCCTCCTCTTTCCTTCCCTTCCCTTTTGACGGCTGGCCAGCCACCGCTAATCATATGATGAATAACTGACCTCTTGATATTTGCCCCCTCCCTCTCCTGGCAGGCGCAGCCAAAGGAACACATACCTTGACCTCCACGTGGGCCATGAGCACGGCAAAGCTGGTCAGGTGGGTGCAGGAGCAGCTGGTGTGTGTGCGATTGGTGAATAGAAGACGACAGTCCTGCGTGGACCAGAATCCCGTCATGGTGCGCTTGGAGTAGCTCCAGAAGGAGCAGTTGGGATTGAAATTCTTCTCCGAATGCTGGAGGAACAGAGAGATGGCGATCAAGAGATACCCAGAAAGGCAGGACGAAAGCTGAGAGACAAAAAGCAGGAAGGGGGCCCGGGGACCACGATGGCAGAAAATAGATACTTGGCCATGGGGGAGGCGGGAAGCAGACACACGGAGCGGTTGGGGAAGCCAAAAAAGAAAAGTGAGAAACTGGTGGGAGGGATTGGTGGAGAAAGGATGGGGAGGAGAAAGCACTGAGAGGGAGTCAAGCAAACACGGCAAAACACAACAACAAACAGAAGGGACAGAACACAAAAGTGCAGCAGCAAATAAACATGGAGCCGGGGCAGGAGGTGACGGTGCAGTGTCGATGCAGGGTGTGGGCGGTTCTGGAGTGTAGGAGCCACTTGTGTTGTGCGTCGTACAGATATTCTCAAAAAGAGCAAGTGAGGAATCTGCTGACGACAAGCTGGGTTGCCAACTGGACCTGCTTGTTGGATGGTTAACACAAAACAAAACTATGAAGCTGACCATCCTAATTGATACAATATGGAATGCGGCCCGCTATTCCAAATCCCATCTCATGCTATTAAGAGTGAGCCACCGTTAGGAAATTGTAAAGTGGCCAAAAGACGTTTCTGATCTTTAAACAGGACGTTTTGACGGTTCATTCTCAAAAGCGGGAAGGAGAGCGTGATCAAACAATCCAACATTCAGGCTGCCACAGAGTCAAAACAAGGCGGCACTCTTCATCTTTTGATCCCCGGAGTTCAGTCAAGTCTCCAGACAGTAAACCAAACAGCGGTCGGGACTTAAGTCTTCATTTTTGCGGCTTGAATCTAATTCCAGCTCAGGCTTTGAGTGTCATATATGCAGCATCTGTTGAGCGATAGGGTGGCGTGGCAGAATGTCAGACCTGGATGAGGTCTGTGCTGCATCTTGCGAAAAAGATGATCTTAAAATTCCTAAAAATTGATTTCAATAGGAACATGTTGGCGCGAGCACTATGCATAGGAACACACAGCCCAGCCGATACGGCAGGCACTGAGCGCGAGCATCTTTTGAATGTCACATCGCACTTTGCCTAAATCCACTTTATCGCAAATATTCACACGAGCAGAATCATTTGCGCTCGGTCCGGCGGGGCTCTGATGTGCCCCGAGAGCCTTTTTAACGAAGGTCGAGTGACATTTCCATTTTGGTCATTATTTAATCAGTACTTTCTCATCAACACGTTGTCCAATCAAAGAGAGTGGAGGAGAGGCAGAGCTCGGGCTTCCGACTCCCGGGGTCGGATGCTGAGCCCTGCAGCTGTTGCAATGCTCCACTGCTGTGGGGATGTGGCAGGTGGCAGGATTCGGATCATCCCGAAATCCCTTTTATCCAATATTTAGGCTCAATATATACGACATCTTTTTCATTCTAACTATAGAGATTAAGCTAATTGGGGCAATTGTCATCTGCTGGTGTAGAGGGATAAATGTAATGGCTCATACTGTTCACAACAACATCATTCAGTAGCAGAGTGTCCTCAGCCAGCAGCTTCCCCGGCTCGAGAAGGTCACTCCTGTCAACAGCACTAACCTTGCACCACAAGTCTCTACGACGGCTGTTTAGAGTGAGGATTTATTTCTGTTGTCCGTATTTATTCGAACCACAGAAGTCACTCACTACTACACTGCACTAATAAGGAGGACTGAAAAGAAAAGGCTAAAGGGAATTATTGCATTGAAACCAGTCAGCGTTTTATCAACGGCTCTGTGTTCTAAATGCATAGTCTGATTATTGACTTAGTTTTAACGTCAACAGTGGATATGATTTTGATCTCGGTGCATATAAAAGGCTGCCAACACTCTCGGGATTCATCAGTCACCCCACCTGGCGCATCTTCACACCCTGGGCATGAAGGACGTGTAAATCCTGTAAATAAAAGTCGCGATGGCTCTCATTGCACTCCATGTTTCAATTAAGAGTCCTAATGCGTCCTAGCCTGCTCCGTCCATAGTGTTCAACCCTCAAACGCCCATTTTCTTGACAGTCGCTGATATCCCAATGTGTGGCTAATTTTTTTCAGGGTGTTAATTAATCAGACTGTTGGCCGTAAATATAGCCTATAAATACTGTAGTGACACGCATGTGTAAAGCTGAATGAAGGATGCATTGGCACTGGTAGAGCGCTGCTTTAATGGAAGGAGAGAAAGGGAGGGGAGGGGGGTTGAGTGCCCAGGGAGAGCAAGAATTTCCTGCCTTGTAAATGTCTCGATTTCTGTGTCAGAAACAGCTCTTTTGTTTCCCCTGTCTACTGTAGCATTGATCCACGGTAAAGATTCACCGATCAGCAGGTTCAACATTCAGGAGGTTCTTTCCACTGATCATTTATAATTACATCTGGGCTGGCCATGTCATGGGAGCAATGTGAGGCTGATAGATGTGTGCAAATTTCTTGGCGGATTTCTGAACCCGAGCATGAGGGATCATTTTATGATGCGAGGCACTGATGCATTGGTGTGGATGATCCTTTTTGCCATGTGCACCCTATGTGCGTATCTAAAGTATGGAAGTATCTCAAACTTAAAAACAAAACATACAAACAAAAAATAAAAACAGAGTTCCTGTATTTGTTTATAAGGACTGACTGTATGTACTTGTGGAATTTATTCAATAAGAGCAATTTCCTGATTGAATCAAATCAAAGTTTCATAAAAAAAGAACAAATCTTTGTGCCATTTCGGAAGGTTACACGCTCCTTTTCACTGTTGGCAGGTTGAGATTTGACCAGATTGCGGCCGTTTCGTGACGTGCGCTTCCTATAGGCAGCGGTTGCTTGAACCACAGTTTGAGTTGGTCTCAATGTTGAGAAGTTACTATGAGCTACCTTGTCAGAAATCCTCCCGAATTCTTCAAACTGAGCATATCCTGACACAGACTACCCATAAGTGCTCCACATTATTCCAACTTCTGAATTGCTCCCTAACTAGACGCAAGCACATGATCCATCAATAAAGACGAACAAACGAGTGCCCCTGCAGCAGGAGAGCTTGGATTCCAGCCACATTCCTGTCCAGGTGCTGTTACCGTATGAAAAATGGTAACGCTTCACCCTATTTTTATTTCATGCCAATAAATGAAAGATATGGAGAACAGACCCATCCATAAAAGCTCTGTCTCTGTCTACTTACCTGCAGGTGTTTGACAGTGAAGACCACGGGCTCCGACAGGTAAACCTTATTGCTCTCCTTGTTAATGGATGCCGTGATGACCGGGGAGTTGACGATCACGGAGTAATTGGGATAGACTGAGTCACCGCTCAGCCTGACACTGGCGTTCTCGGTGGGCAGGTAGGCGCCCAAGTTCCTGTACAGCACAAACGCCATCCTGATCTCACCTGCAGGAACACACACACACACGTTGTTGCCATAACCCGGTATTACAGAAATAGATTGTGGACGTGAGGAAGGAGCGAGCAATTCCATCTGAGGACAGAAAGCATCAAAAGTCAGTTAGAGAGCGAGAGAGAGAGAGAGAGAGAGATAGAAAGAGACGGTGGGTTCGTGAACTCGGAGTGAGAGCAAAAGAAAAGGAGGATGTGAGATTTGCTTTTTACCATTTCGGCCGTGCTGTTTGAGAGTGCTGGCTGACAGCTGGATGGAGTTTCCGTGTTGTTCTGACTGAGGGAACATCAGGTCTGCGAGGTTGCCGTCCGTGCTCAGCCTGGCCACCTCCAGCTCTGAAACACATACAAACCCTAAATGTCAAGTCACGGTCACGCTAACGACATCAGATTTGCTTTGTGGACCCTTGTATCAGCCGGGTTTGATCACTAAGTGCTTCATACCAGAGCACAGGCATTCAGCTTGAAGCGACTTCGTTTGTTTTTTTGTTTTTTTAGAAGATGACCTGTGCTGAACTGAAATGAGTTTTTTTACCTTAAGAAGGTAACAATGTTTCCAAGCAACTGTTGCAACACATTGAGGACGATTATCCTGCCTCTCTTACATTGTGAGAGTCTAATTTCACAATCAAAGTTCGTTAGCAAGTTCCCGATTACAGCCGTGTAATGTGTTAGATAAAGTTTCTAATTAAGGACTAATTATACCTTTGGTGTATCTCTATCTTGTGTCTCTGAGTGATTTGGTGATTTAGACTCCTGCTTTCATGGGGAAAACACCTCCCTAATCACACAAACAACACAGCGACATCTGAGATAAAAATGAGAGTGGATGAGGAGGCAGAAGCGGTTAAGAGGTGAAAGGGAAAGGAAGTTGAAGAAGTCGGGGAGGAGAGGGTAAAAAAAAAAAGAAAAAGGCAATCAGAGAAGCAGAATGGTTGAGATTGGAAATGAGCAGATGTGTTGAAAGGATAGGGCTGGAGTGGAGACAGATGGGGAAAAAAAAAGACTGTTTTTTTTTCACTGGCTCTGAGGCTGGAGATGCTGAGGTACAGAGGAGGGGAAGGCAGAAGCAGAGTCAAACAGGCAGACTGAGACGGCAAAAAGGAAAAGCTGGATCCGTGTCCCTCACTTGCACATTATTCAAACTCGACGTTCGAGCTCGGAACATAAAAAAACACACAATCACCCATGCCTACAAACATCAGCGGGGTATCGAAGCACGCTGAGTCTAATCTAATTAAAGTATCCTTGTCACGACAATCCTCCTCCTCAGAAACACACTTGTTCATTATCGTTATCACACACAGCTACCACTGTGTTATCCCTGCAAATCACTGTTTTGCTTCTAATAATAACACTATTTATTCATCTGCCTTATACCGTGCCTCGCAGTCACATACGCGCACGCAGAACCCAACACATTCAACCAAAAAAAAAAAAAAACCTTCCACTAGCTGCAACCCTGTCTCGAAATCGTGTCAAATAATTTATTCTCGTCACTCTCATCTGAAGAGCTTGTTAAAAGAAAGTGTCCGTGCGTGTATGTGTGTGTGTGTGTGAGTGTGTAGGGTGGGGGCTGCTTTAAAAAGTGTGAGAAAGACAGTAAAGAGGAAAGAATGAGTGTGAGAGAGAGACCAAAGTGAGAAAGGAAGTGGAGAAACACAGAGATGACAGGCTTTTATGGGGCTGGTTATGAATACGGGCGAGAGATAATCATGGTGGATCTTCCCACTGGATTAGCTGGAGGGAAGATTAACAGCACAAAAAGAAGAGGAATGTGGGGACAAAAATTTGCCACAAAAAGGCTACTTCCTGTTCTAAGTTCCTCCGAGATGCCGTGACCCACATCTCTGACGACTGTTTATGTAACGACGCTTCTATGCTGCAATCGGGAGAAAAAAAACAAGAGGAGATGTGAGCCTAAAATTATGTAAGTTCAAACAATGGAGGTTGTCAGCTTTTTGGACCGTGCGGCTGGTCTTTAAATTAATCAGGAACCTTAAAAAGGTCTGTTTGCGGGGGGGATCTTTAATGTGGCTGCTTCCTTGTGTGACTTAAGTAAACGCAATGTCATGGCATCCTGATGTGAAACGGAGCAAAAAAAAAAAAAAGATGAGGGAAAAAAATTAGAAAGAAAAACCTCAGAGCATCATTTGACATTCCACTGCCACCGCCACCCTCAAGCATGCACTCATCCAGCCTTCTTCTTTTCTTATCATTTTCAGTTTCCTCTTTTCTCCCGCTCCTCCTCCATGGCTTTTCATCTGTGACTGAGTGGCGCACACGCATGCTGGATTCTAGTAGCGAGGGGAGCCATGTGGAGGACATTTTTACATATCGAATCAAAAGGGGGAGTCAACAGCAGGAAAACTGAGGAAAACACAAGTGGGTGCAACTTGCGTCTCTGGGTGCAGATGAAATGATGGTTCACAGATATGTCATCATCTAAAGCCGCGGAAAGCAAAGAGGCTTTTTGCTCTCTAGTAACACGCCGTTATGAGACGAGATGATGAGTGGAGACAAGAGAAAAAAAAGCAGAGGGAATGGAGGAGAGAGGTGAAAGAGAGAGGAGGGAAGGGATGTGCACAGTGCCATATTAACAAGCTCTGTTCTGCTTTGTCAATTCCGCCTACGAGCCAAGGGAAGAAAATATGGAAAAAGTAAATAAGTAAATAAAAATGATTGTCTCTGGCAAACAACTCGCGTCTGCCTGGAGGCCGAGATTTTTGCCTGCGCTTCGTTAGATGAGGATCTCGGAGGGTTCGACCCTTTGAAACGTCTTTATCGTGACCTCCATCTGGCAAATCACGCAAAGGGGTCATATCTAGGGAAGGAGGACGGCGCGGGCGTTTCATGTACATAGGAAATTCCTCCCGAATGAACCTGAACTGCTCAAAGCAAAACAATGACACCAATGCATGAGCATACAACAGCTCAACAGGTTAGAGGTCTGATGTGCTGCAGGTATCCATGAGCAGTGCATAACCCAAAATTGACTGACTAAAACTAAAACAAAGTAAGTCTGAGAATTTTCACAGACGTGCAAAGAAAGTATATGACAGTCTACAGCAGCCCACATCAGTGAACGTCAAAGATTATGCACCGACTTGTTTTCACTTTAGTTGAAGAATTGTCCTTTAGAGAGAGTTTTTAAAACCCTGTTGGTGTTTAGGTATAGCGGCAACAGGGCTTTGAACGTCATCGGCTAAATATTACAAAGAATTATGAGTAGAAATGAACACAGTGGCCAGCATGCTCTGAAAGAAGCAGCCAGGAAAGAACCCGCTTTGAATGCAGCTCCTTTAATGCCTGCACCTCTCACAGGACTGCATATTCTACTGTGTCGGAGTCTAGCCAGAGGCCGCCTAACTAAATTGCGCCAAAGGGATCAGTTGACATCATGTTTAATTCAGCCCCGCTGTGTTTCGCAGAGCGCCGATTCCCCTTAAAAATTACAGAGTGCAAAATCACTGGACACGGTGACCCACTACTGTTATTGTTGCTGTATTCATAACTGCATTCATTGTCCCACATTTTCTGTGACCGAGTTAGTGTCGCTCCACCAGTCCCTTTGTGCTGCCAACCCGGTACCTCCTAACAGACACGAGGCAGCCACATCACAGAGCCCATTTGCTGGATTCTGACTGGGATACATTAAAAACAACTGTATTCCGCACTTAATGTCATGTCGCTGTGCGCATCGCTTTTGATTCTTTTTTTTTTCGGAGCGGCCTTTTGCTCCGTGTGTCCACGCACGTCAACTGAAACAACTCTGTTTGACGTCTTAAAACGCACAAGTGCGCTAAACACGTCATTCCTTTGCAAGAGTCTGTTGATTTTCCCTTTTAAACCTTTCTTGGAGAACACATGTTGAGTCACTCGGAGAGACCCCCCTGAATCTGCACGCAGTCCGCGTTGCTTCGTGTGTTATCGTCTGCCTGTCATAATATGTTATCACCAACAGCTTCGTGAGGCTTTGTTTGTTTAAGTTCACCGCGCACCCTGCGGAATATGAACAAATTCATCTTGCCATTACTCAATTGTTGTTACAGCTGTTGTTTTCCTTGACCTTGCTGCTCAGCTTTAGGAGCTCGTTCAACTGATGTTGTCTCTCAACCGTAGACGCGCGTTTCCGATTTTAGGCAATTGTTATACTTTTTTTCCCTAAACTTTACGCCACATTGAAAAGTTTATTCATATTTTTGTTTCATGTAAGGTGATGTTGCAACTAACAAAGACAGAGTTATTATATTGTCATGTCTACAAAAAAATGACCTCGTCTTAAGTTCATCTTGTGTTCATGTTGTCTTGTGACTTCCTGTTTTATTTTGACAGTCATCCTTCCTCTTGCTTCAGGTCACTTACCTTTACTCTTGTGTTCGTCTGTTTCACCCTGATGTGTTTCACCTGTTTCCCATCCCAGGTGTGGTGTGTGTCTGTGGATATATAATCAACCCTTTCCCCCTTCTCCTGTGCTACAGGACCCGCGTCCTGTGTTACAGTCTTGCTTCGAGTTTGTCTTGTCATTTGTTTTTTCCTCACAAGAGTCATTTTGATTTTGTCATTTGTGCTTCCCTCTTAGGAGAGAATCTTCGTTGATACTTTGTTATTTACTATTATCCTCGTATGAGTTATTTTGAGTTCTTTCTTTTCAGCAGTGATCTTATGTTGATAGTTTGTGGTTGGCCTCGTTTTGAGAGCGTCTCTGTGTTTGTTTGAAAGAATCTCTAGTTGATACTTTAAGTGACAAAAGTACAGCTGATTTAAAAATCTGAGTACTGCACAGGTTCCTCTCAGCTAGAGGGTCCCAGGTTGGTACTTAACTGGGACCTTTCTGTCTTTCTGTCTCTTAATTGGCAGCCCTGAGCTGGCTGTGGGTACGAGTGTGTGTGTTCGGTTGTCATTATCTGCACGTAAGCTGTCTGTGTTAGACTGGGAACGCTGGCCCAATTTAGAGGGACTGGCCTTCGAATGTCACATCTATTAAATGTAGGATATGATACCGGTAAGACACAAGAGTGCGTGCCATAGTTTGACACTGAAACAAACAAAAGCGCGGCAGTATCAGAAAGTTCTGCACAAGGAGGTCGCTGGTTGTACCTCACCGAGGCCTCTCTGTGCAGTGAGTTTGCATTTTCTTTTTGAGCCTAGCTGAACTTCATGGAGTGTGTCAGGCTCTCAAACAGATACATGTTGAACAGTAACTTTTTACCTGTAAATCCACTGTGGGTATGTGTGGTTTACTTTTCCGACACACACACTCTGTTTTAGACTGGAAATTATAAACTTGGACGGATAAAACAGACCTAGAAAAGGGATGGTTGTATTTTTACTTCTCATTTTCTACTTTGGTGCAACAGGTCTGATCCATTTTAGCAGTGCCTTGAGGGTCAAACTGACAAACGGGTAGGGAAGCTTAAAAAATGCACTCACGGATATAGTCGGTGGTCTCCTGCACGGTGTCGGTCTTCAGGAGGTTGTCGGCCAGCATGAAAGCACCCGCTTCCACCGTGTCCAGGAGCAGGGTGGCCGAATGCAGCTGCTCGCTGGTGGGTAGCTCCTTCCAGGCAGACTGCGCTCGCGGATGGAGCAAATTATTGACCGTCTCCACCATAGCCTGAAGCAGCAGAGTGAAGACGCACAGGTCACGCCGCTGAGGCTAATGCTCAAACATTTATTGCACGGTAGTCAGTCAAACTAAAGGGAAAATGAATGCAAATATATTCATAATACAAGCAAATTTGCAACAGAGAATAGCTTTTCATTCATCATGTTGATAAATCATGACAATCAAGGCAAAAAAAAAAAGAAGTTAGCAATGCAAATGTGGCATTCCCATGCACAAGACACAATGAAAGCGACAACAATGAAGCCAAAGATATTACTTTAAAACAGTATATCTTTTCCACTTTTTATTCTTTTTTTATGTGGGAAATCGCAGATGCTTTGAGATTCAAGCTAAGCAAATTACTTGATTGCAATCAGCACGTGGTTGACACCACAAGGCCTGGTAGCTTTTCTTATTTCCTTTCTCTCCTGTTTTTTAAAAACGACAGTCTTATCGGTGAGTTGGAAAGCTTGCACCTGAGGGTGCGAGGAGAAATTAGAGTTTTATCTGATAGTGTCTGCTGGTTCCCATCCAGCCACGAGGGGCAGTTCTGCATCCAAAAATATCCCCAAAACGAAGGAAGAGAAGAGACGGCTCTCGCGCTGCAGACGAGATGTTTTTCCGTGAAATCATACAGATTTTTGTCTCCGGCTCACATTCCCTTATGCTCTTTAGAATGCCTCTCCTCCTTTTCAGACATGAACAACACAAAGCCTGGGCTGAAGCATACAAACACACACACACACACACACATACGCACACACGCATATCTCTAAAGACAGGGAAAGATAAAGAGACAGAGAGAAAAGAGAGCTGGTGCAGTGGGGTGGAGGGAGGAGGGGTGAGAGAGCCATGGGAGAGCGATAAAACAGTCCAGTGAGTCCATGGTGACAGGCGTCCACTGGGAGCAAGAGAGGCAGAAAAGCGAATACAGGTGCTATCACACACACACATCTCCCACTCCCCTCTGTCTCCTTATTTTTCTCCTGGTGTGTAAACCACCCTTCATGCAGACACACTCCCACCCTTTTCCTCATCTCTTACTCATCTTTCAATGCTACCCTCTCCCTCTCGAGGAGGATGGAAAAAAGTAACACAGGTGCCATTATGCAGGCAGGAAGGGGTCTCCAGTGGGGAATTGCAAGGGCAGAGAGGAAGAGTGAGAGACAGTCGGTTTATTGCCATTCACACATCCAACCGTTTGACTTCCGCTTGGTCCCTGTCAGTCTAGGTGAAGGAGGAGGAGGTGAAGACGGAACGAGCAAATGCTGCTCGCTCTCAGTGTGCGTCATATAAAGTGTAAAGAACCAACAGACAATGAATCACACAAGTGGGGACTGAGGAGACACTGCAAAAAAAATCAGCTGTCTTTCGTAATTGCAACTAATCCTGTGTTGTTTTTTAGGTGGGGCGCGACATGTAGCTGTAAAATAACACACGAAAAGCTTATACCGAGCCAACAAGCCATTAGGACATTTTCGTGTGTTTTTTTTTCTTTGCACTAACAGCTAATTAGAAGGGATGAATATTTGATGAGCTTGTGAGGACCACATGTGAACAAAAACTAATTAATCTGCTTCTTGGGAAGCACATGTGAAGCGCACATTTGCGTGCACCATCAAACTTATTTCCACCGGCACACTTCTCAGGCTTTGACAGCTAACTACAAGCTCCAACGCTTTTCTCTCAAAAAGGACCTAAGTTTGCAGCAACTTTAATTGTATTTCTGTTGCAGGAAACACAGCCGGTGAAACTAATGAGAAAGTTGTATGAAAAGCATGTGAAGATTCATCAGATTTACATCTTGTATGAGAGGACGGTGCCATAGAACTTTTCTCCCTCTGCCTTTGTACATTAAATAATAATCAACCAATCAATCAGCTGATTAATGATAAATTAAAATTACAGGGACCTGAATAGCTTCAAATAGCCATATTTAGTAATACTGATAACTTGGTAATGTAAGTAATTCAAGTTTCTCATCATTTTGCATGTGATGTTAGTCTAGTATGAGCTTGATGCTGATAGTAAAATAAATGGAACACATTGTAACTAAAAAGAATGAAAAAGAAAGTTATGAGTTCCACAAAATATAACTTTTTTACAGTAAAAAATAAATACATCATGACCTTAAAATGGCCTGGTATAAAACTCTACCAATTCTAGATTAGACTGTCCTTTCCGATTCAAAATGTTTATGCTATGCTTTGTTTAGGATTTCAAATATCAGTTTATATCGGCTGTAAATGTTAAGCATCAGATTGATGCACAGGGAGAGGAAATTAAATTATACAAGGGTCCGTGCAAATGGAAGCATCAGAATGGTAATTCTATTGCTTTCTGCTATATTAGAGATTCAGTGCTCCCATAGCGCTCAGCGAGGCTGTGGGCTCCCCTCACCAGTAGCTCTACCGTCCAGAACCTCCTGCGGCTTACCCAGCCTGGCTGTGGGCTGAGGGCTGCGGCTCCCTGCTCAGCCATGCTTTTACAATCTTTTTCCCCCCAAAGCTTGTACTAACTTCTCCACTAGCTTGTGCTAGCTTTTCGTCTCATTGGTTCCAGATGATGCAAAAAGCCCCACAAAGCAAGATGTCAGGATTGATTCTCCCGGCATCATATATGGAATACATGCTGTCAAACCTCCCTTTTCTGAGACTATAAGCAGTGCTCTAAAGATTTAAATAAGGAATCCTCAGCCAAGGGATCGATGGTTATATAACTGGCGTATTGAAACTAATTTTATGGATGTGGTAACAACTGACCAGGACTACAAAGATATTTCTTATATGCATAACACCCTTAAAAAGTCTAGATGCATTCATGGGGGTGGTTTTTATGCTGAAATGTGTAAGCTGCTGATAACAAAAATAAATCTTTTTATGAGCAATTTTTAAACTTATTCCAAAGATTGGATTATCTGACAAACGATTATAATTTTTTCACTTTTTTTAAAGTCTACTTTATTTGCTATTCACTGTTCGCCTACAGATTGAAATAACACTAAAAAAAGACTCAGTTTTTCCCTTCGGCAACTCTTAAGTTTTGCATTTCTAATTTCTCTCTTCCAGCTGATCTCTTTTTAGTTAATTCAATCGCTTGAAAGTTTAATCACTCTAATTATTCCTAACTGATTTTACTGTTTCATTTAATGTCTTTTAAAAAAACTAGTTCCATCATGATTATTTCCCTTTACCCTCTCCTACGTTACAGGCAGGGCCTCCATGCGGCAAGCCTAAATGAATGTTGAATGTCGAGTTGTGTGTTCTGAACCCGCGTGTGTGTTACTAAGTGTGCCGTGCGCCTGAGTGTGTGTTTGCCTGTAGTTAGGGGTGTGCGCTAGGGGCCAGGAGAAGCATTGTAGTGCATCATTCTGCTCCACTTGCTGTACAGTAGAAACCCAGGCAACAGAAACAGACAGACGGGAGGATGTTCTGTGCTGTTGGCGTGCCAGATTGGAGAGCAGGAGCACTTGTTTCCATTTCCCCACTCCAATTCTGCTCCAGAGCGGTCTCCTTGATGTGTTCTACCTAGATTCCCCATCCTTTTCCTCTCACATTTAACTTTCCACCGCTCCTTGGCGCACTTTTTACTATCTGGGGTTTTTCCGAATTCGTCCAACTTTTCCATTGAGATTCATTTCGCTGGCACCTGTGCAGGTGAAGGGAAGGATGGGGAGGGATTTCCATGGGGTCCCGACACCTCGCGCATCCAGAGGTCAGAGACGGGACCCATGGCACGTGCGTTCCAGTGTCAGTAAGCTCTGGTGCCATTGGTGACATGTCAATCTGCAAAAAGCATGAAAACTAGAGGGCTAAAGTGGAGACCTTTTTTTTTTTCAGGGGTCTTCAAAGAAGGGTAGGGACTCTGCAGAGACAGATAAGGGTGTCACATTTGTGTTAAAGTGTGAGTTAGCAAGTGTGCGTCTCTAAGTGGGCCGGAGTGATGCACGCGCGTATGTGCGCACACGCACGCAGACACACAGCAGTAAATGGGGCAGAAGTGAAATGCTTTGAAGCGTCGGGGTAATCCAGCGTAAACAGCAGCGGCAAGACAGACCCG